TATTTCTCCGGTAAACTCTGTACTTCTTTCTGTTTATTGCAGCCACTTGTGATTACTCTGTTGAACTTTGCTTCTCCATCCTCCTTCAGAGTCTTCTGAAGGCCATGGAAACACTGCCATTTATTTCTTGGGATTTGAGACTGTACTTTAGAGCCCTGATACAGAACAAATTGCTCTTGTTTCAAGATGTGAATCTCTAACTTGCATCGTCCCATTTAATGTCCTCTCTTGTCTCAGGAAAGTTGTTTCAGCTCACTGCCTCAGTTTCTCCCATTCACTTAAATTCCTTTAATAATCTGAGGTTAATGCATATTATGCCTGCAGCACCCTTGTTACGGAAATCGTTAACTGAACTCATCCAGATGGTTAAGCACACTGAAAATAAAGATGAGACTGTTGGGCACCATAGTGACAATGAGATGACAGTAGCTGTATAAAATCCCAGAGGCAGAGGGGATGTTAAGAAACTACCTGTTTCAGTGATGAAGTTCATCTTCTGTACACTGAATTTGAAAGTGTGATGTCCTTGACATGCAGGGTTGCTTCGGCATGAAACCTCTGGACTGACTGCTTTCTTCAGCCTGTGCTGGGAGCAGGTATTCCTTCCTTTCTGCTCAGTAATGCTGGATCACGCATTTCTTCCAGCCTTTCTTTTTCTAGTTTTTCCCATTCTTCATGCTTTCCTGTTTCCCTCAGGCCCCGTCTTGCCTCTATTATTCTCAAATGCTGAAGTTTTCAGATAGCCTCCTGTTAACGTGACTGCATACACGGTTCTGTGCTTTCTTTTGAAAGGCTACTGCCCACCTTGTTGCACAGGATCAATGTCATCACTTGATGGCTAGAAATGCAATACTTTGTTTCATGCGACTTGCTTGGTACATGATCTGTTTCTCACCTTCTTGGCTGCTCTTCAGATTTTGCTTTGACTACGGGCTTGCATCTACTTGTGTGTAGCACTCTTCAGGGTTGTGTCTGACTGCTTCCTAACCTGTTTCTTTTTTTGACATGGCTATAAGGCAAAGCTAGTGGAGTTGTTCTTGTCATGCGGGTGAGAAGCTGATGGATATACTGCTGAAGGTCAACTGTCTCACTAGGTTTAGTTGCCACTTTCAGATATTTTCTTCCTTTCTCCAGCACCACCCTTTGGCTTGTGGGAATCCCCTGCTCATCTGCTGTGTGCCCTTCAACTTTTGCAACAGGTAGGGCCATGGAGTGTGGACCTGCTAAGCCAACACCAGTGGCAAAAATGGTCCCTGACAAAACCAGCCAACGGTCCAGCATCAGGCGTGGTAATAAGGCTATGCAGCAGCTTTAGCTCTCATTCATGCTTCCTGACCTTTCTTTGCAGCTGTAGCGGGAGAGGAGTGGAATACATGTGTTTTCCATGGTCTACAGAAAGCAGAACTTGGCGGGGGAGGAGGAATTGCAGTTGTGTGGCTGAGCTTCCCTGTGAACACTGGGGCAAGACTGGAAGTGTGAGATTCATCACTGACATCTGTCGCTGTGTTTGTTGGCAGCTGTGTTGCTACAAATGGCAGCAGTAGCAGGTTGTAGCCCGTTGGTGCAGGAAGATGCCAGTAGTTTCCCAACTACTTCTAGAAGCAGAGGGATGCTGAGTTGGGAATAACGGGCCTGATTCACAGAGGTGTGGTGGCCATGGTTACTTTCTCCCCCCTTTCCTCTGTAGACTTTTTCCTTTTATCCAGGGTCTCTCCATCTAGTCCTTGCATGTCCATATGTCCCCCATGACTCCAGCAAATCCTTCGCCCTTAGAAATTCTTTCCCTTCCACGTCAGGCCAGCCTGGGAGATATCCTAGTCTCTGTTCCAAGATCAGACATCGTATGGCTTTTTAACAGCAGTAGCAAGGACATTTCTTCTCGGCCATGTGGTTGTAGGGAAGAGCAGACTCCCCTCTGGAGATACATGGTATTTGGTTTACCAAGGGGGAAAGGAGGGGAAAGTATGTTCCCTGCATACAAAAGTCCACAAGATTTTGTTGCTAAGCTCTGAATCTCTGTTGAGTCTGTGTGGCAAACAATTTTCAAATACTTGCTGCTTGGCCAAACTTGAGGTGATTTTCATAAAGGAGGAAGGACATACAACATTTCTATTCTGAAAAAATAAAGGAGTGGTTAAATACTCTCAGTTAGATAGTTGAGATTCTTTTTTATGTGAGTAAATTCTCCCCCCCCCCCCC